GAATTCCCCATTATTCCCTTCAGAAGCAGCCCTGGGCAAGTGGCGATACCAATCATGTTGGTGCCCAGGGGTCTAGAACTCAGGCCAGCACTGGGTTGGAATTCACCACTGATTTATGGGATGGACCATACATTTATACTGACCAAGCTCCTAGACTTACGGCCCCTGGACATGTCCCACATTTAAGTCAGCACCAAGAGCACAGCCTTGCTTCTCTGTACATAGATCTCCCAGTTTTCCTGTTTGTTCATAGCAAAGGTTCATTTTTTAAAAGCTGAGAAAGCTACATGCGGAACCGTAATTACAAACACCTTTTGAGGATCCATGCCACTGTGAGGCCATGTTAACTTCAAAGTCTTTGGCTATTCTCCCCATTAATATTTTTAATACATACAAGAAATTCCACGCCATCGGAAGCTGTTCCCCAAAAGCATCAAGATTCTCATCATCTGAGCTTTACCAGTCAAAATGGACCCTCAAGGCATGCTTTCTAACCGGGATGGCCAGAGCAGAGGCCAAGTGACCCTCGGGGTGGAACCCCCTCCTCCATGGCAAGAGCTCACATTCCAAACAAACACTAACTCCAACAGAGGTTTCAAATGTCTCAGCGTCTTTGGATTTCATTGATAGGAAATGAACAAAGTATAAGATTAAGTGTCTAACTGGACACATAAGATTTCTGAGAGATACACCCACCAATCAATATATGGCAGGAGAGGCATTTTTCTTGGCACTGGCTCTGTGTCGTGGTTAAGCACATGCAGGACCACCTGGATGTGATCCGTGCAGCTCTGTATTAAAGTTCAACCAATGTGGGAGGGGAGAGGGTCAAGGACCTCACGCTCTTCCCAGGACTGAGGGTCCACAGACTATGCATCTGTCCAGGGGGTGCGTGTTACAGCCCAGGAAGACCCACAGCTCGGGGAACTCCTCCTCACTTCGGGGGGGCTCTTCACTCATTGTCGTCTGGGATTTCCCGGAGCCCTTGGCTGTGGCGAGTTCGCCCGCTGATTTCCAGCAGGGCCTGGGCCTCGGGGTCCGTGTCGAGGATGCTCTTGCTGCTCTTGGCCTTGGGGAGAACCGCAGAAGGACAGGTGTGATCGATGGCATGCACAGAGATGAGTGGCTCCCAATAACCAAGAACAAGCAGAAAAGGGGGTGGGCTCCAGTCCCCTCTGAGGCCCCTCCCGCCCTGGGATTCAACCACTGGGAGCTTATGGGGTGTTGTAGGAGGCCTAAAGACGACTCACAGAACCCAGAACCCAGGAACTGGGAGGAAGCCCAGCCCCTGCTCCCCCTGCAGACAGACAGGGAGAGCCAAGGGTCCCCCACCCCGGCTAAGTTCACAGCTTGGGCGGGTCCCCGCTTCCCAGGGCCATTCTTCTCAACCACCGTGAATCCCAGACAAGACTTCCAGCTGTGCACCTACCCGTATCCCCCAAGGCCAGCAGCAGCTGCCAGAAACAAATCTGGAATAAACTCTCTCCAGCCAGAGGAGTAAGAGGGGTAAAGCCAAGTAAACGGAGAGAGGCCTCTGCACTCAAGGTCCCCACCAGGTCGCAGAAGCCACGTTCCACTCACCAGCTGCGCCTCGGGGACGTCCCCGACCGCCCACACCTCCATCCTGTCAAACTGGAAGTTCTCCTGGGCGGACAGCTGCGGGCTGTTGTACGTGGTACACGTGGGCTTGGCTTTGCTGTGTCCTTTCCCAAAATCGACATCCACCCAGAGCCCAAAGTACTCGTGCTGGCCTCCCATGCCCTGCGAAGGAGGCAGCAGAGGATGGCATCATAGCCGCTCCCAGCCCACAACATCCCACATGCCAGGCTGCCCCTTGTCCGCCCAAGGCAGGGGCAGATGAGCGGTGAGTGCGATTTCCTTTCCTCCTTGACTGTGAAATGCAGATGCTGCAACTCACTTGTCCAGTTCCAAGTTGCTAGAACAGTCCCTGATTCCCCAGTGCACACCCCCAGCTCTTTCTCAAGAGGCTGTGCTGGCCACAAGCACAAGTGACAGCAGAGAATAAAATAAAAACACAGACCACCGGGTACAGACACCCGTGGAAACGGAGAGGTGAGCACAGAAGCTGATGCTGCAAACCCCTGGGTCTGGGCCTCGTGCCCCACCTGTTTCCAGGCAGGGACCGTCATCCATACATAGAAAGGAAACTAAGCTTAGGGCAACTCAAACCCCCATTCTTTCCAGCACATGGTCTCACTGCTCGGCTCTAAGCTGGTGGCCGATGAGAACGGGACAGCTTCTCAACCTCATTCCCTGACAACCTTCTCTCGCCGCCCCCCACATTGCCCCCACCCCCCACCCCCCATGCCAGGTGTGAGGCAGGCAGCGATGCCTAGTGACAGGCCTGGCACCAACACCGTCTCAAGCCACAAAGGCCACAAACAGATCACCTGAGAGGCAGGAAAGTGGTCTGCATTCACCACATGCATGCACACCATTGAAAAGCCGCAGGGAGGCTTCGTCCTTCCCTAAGGGAAATCCTGTCCTAGCTGCCGCTGCTCCCAGCACTGAGAAGGGGGCAGAAGGAGCTGGACGTGTCACGTACATGCAGCTAGACCCCCCGCAGCTCCCCCATCTGTGGAGGGGCCGAGCATTAGGACCGACTCCAGCGCAGAATCCTCTCCAGGCCCTTACCAGTCCATTTGGGATCGTCTGCTGTCCATGGTTCAAGTACATGTAGTGGTCGTTGTAGCCTGTGTGCATGTACACCGCCATGCTGGGGGAGATGGAGAACAGGAAGCATCTGTCATCCCCTGAAAGTGGCCAGAGAGCAAAACAAACACGGTCACCATGTCAGAGCTGGGCACAAAGACAGCAGGAAACATGAGGGAGCTTTGGCTGAGACGACAGCGCAGCAAGACCTTCCTGCCATCTCCAGGTATGCCCTAAACTCCTGACATCTGGAAGTCAGCAGCCTGGGGATCAGGACAGGTCCCAGACCCCATGCAGGACAAGCCTGACAGCTGCCCAGGGGCCAGGGTGGATGAGCTGGAGGTTTGGGATTAGGATGACAGCTGGTAAGGAATATGACCTCTGTTTCAGGACATCTTTTAGCTCTGGCCAGGAAAAGCAGAGATCAGAACTCTGCCCACTGTTTGCCTGCCAAGCACATCAAAATTGGAAAAAGCAGGTCTCCCTTTAACTCATGAGGAAGGGGAGAGTTCCCACCTGAAAGAATGCACCATGCAAGAGAGAGAAAACCTGAGGGTGCAGAGCTGCCCACAGGGCACGACCTGCTGGGAAGGGAAGAGAGCTGGGCACACGTGCCGCTAAAAGAAAACTACTGGTCAAAACTCTGGAAATGGGCAGGGTCCCAAGTCTCTGAGCCCCTCATTCCATAAGCACACTCAGCACTGGGGGTGGGTGGGTGTGGAGATGAGCCCATGCCTCACCCTCAGGGAGCCCCAGTGAGGGAGTCATGGGAGAGGCGCTCCCCACAGCGTCTGCCTGCCTCAATATTGATGTTGTGAAGGTCACATGACTGCCAAAATAAGCCGTGGAGGCCTGCAGAGGAGCTTTTTGGGGGGCTTCTGTTAGGTGGGAAGGAAGTCCTGAGAAGCAGACTGGGAGCACGAACATGGAGGACAGACGTGAAGGGGATCTGAGGGCTGAGGGCCTCAGGGGAAGGAGGATGCTCTGCAGAGAACAGCTGAAGCACACCCGTGGCCTTCAGGCCTCACAGGCCTGTGGGGTGGCCTCTGTGGCCAGGGTCGGGGAGGCTCCTGGAAGCGGCACATCAGCCAGACTCCCAGGTCAGGAGGGACATCCTGAGACAGAGCTGGCTGGGATGAGAGCCACTCATGGAAGACAGACCCTGTGCAAGGACAGCAGGGGCCCTCTAGTCCCACCGGAGGGTTTGTGTCAGGAGGGGGAAGAAGGGCGATTAGGCCAGAAGGTCAACTAGAACTGCACACTGGAGGGGCTTTACTCCCAACAAGAGTCCCTGGTCTGCTTCATTGGTTTGGGCAGGTTTAGATAAGAACTGCCAGGGCACACCCTACTGCACCCCACCCCTGCACTGGCCTTTGGAGAAGCATCACTGTGCTGTGCAATCCTGGCCCAGATGCCAAGCAAGGTGACAGAGACACAGAGAGCAAACCCCTCAGCTGTGATGGGCCCACATTCTGGTCAGCCTCGGGTCTGTTCTCAGTGGGGAAGGCCATGGAGGGGAAACATTACTCGCTAGGATACAGGGGCAAGGTTACCTGCAAAAAAATGTCAAGCCAATAGTGGGGGCTCCTTATCTAATTCTCATAGTAGCGACACCCAGCCATTCAGTGACCACCACCCAGCACTAAACAGCTGACGAGCTATCTGCCCATACAGTGCAGTTCATGTCATTATGGGAGGTAAGCATCAGGCCAAGGGCCAGTGCTGGGACTTGAAATCCTACTGCTCAATCCGAAGCCTCAGATCTTTTCAGCCACAGCACAGAAAACAAGAAAAAGTGAAGTGATGCCCATGGCTGTTACATCGCTTAGTGCCTCAGAGCTTAGAGTTATCATCTCCAGGACCGACAGACAGAACACTCTGAACCTGACCCAAAGCCCAGGGATCTGCGCCACCGTGGTGCAAGGCTGCCCTCTGCTGGAATTTCCTCCTCATGTCTCAGAACAGAAGGAGCTCAAGTTTGAAAACTTGGGCATTGTATCTTTCCACTATCCTTCAGGAAGATTAAATCTGCTTGTTAATAAAACATGAAGACTCAGCAGAGTCAACTTGAAGTTAATATTAAAGGAGCTGGAGGAAGCAGAAGTTTTACCTATAATGATTCTTAGGATTTTTTCATATCCCAAAGCAGAGAGCCTCCAGCTGCACAGTGAGACAGGGCTACCGGTAATTTCCCCACAGCCTCGAGGCCAGGCTGGCAGGGGAAGGTGCCCCATTCCGGTGACACTGTGGCAGGGAGACATGGGGGTGCAGAAAAGAGCTCACGCAGTAGACTTGGGGCCACTATCCCTGAAAGGCTGCTTGCAAGGTCGGCTCTTGGCTGGTGTCTGGGAACTTGAATTTGGGAGGTTCCTGCCACTCTCTAGCTGGTTCGAACAGCTCACTACATCTACGCTGTGCAAAAAGGCATGGCTTGTGCCAAGCACCCACTTTCCTCCTGGGAGTCAGAAATTCTGGTACATCACTCAGAGGGGCCTCTCTGGTCAGCCTCCAATAAAAACTCTAGGCACTGAGTCTCTTGTGGGCTTCCCTGGTAGAGAATATCTCATATGTGTTGTCACAGCTCATTGCTGGGGGAATTAAGTACATCCTCTGTGACTCCACTGGGAGAGGACCCATGGATGCTTGTGCCCGGTTTCCCTGGACTTCAACCACGCACCTTTTCCCTGGGCCGACTTTGCGTCCTTTCCCAAATAATAATAAATCATAGCTAACAAATCATAATAAATCATAGCTAATAAATCATAGCTGTGAGGGCAACTATACGCTGAGTTTGTGAGTCCTTCTATGAATCACTGATGTGTGGGTGGTCTTGGGGACCCCCATCACAGTGGGGAAGGACTTGGGAGCAGCAACTGTTTTAAAGATCTGGAACATTCTGAAACCTAGAAATAAATCAAATCCTAGAAACAAGAGGATCTCAGGAATAGAGGTACCCAACCCTTCACCTAATGATTTCTTCCAACCATCCCAGGCAAATGGCCACCCAGCCTCTGCTAAAAGCCCTCCAGGAATGGCAGCTCTCCACCGGACAGTTCCCCCGTGGCCTCCAGAAGCTCTGCCTACTGGAGGGAAGAGAGCAGCAATTCCAGTGACGTGTGGTCAGATAGAGGACACATGGAAGTACATGGCCTTTGCATGGTTAAGGAGGCTTCCTGGAGGAGGTGACCCTGGGCTGAGTCCCAACAAGGAGCTGAGTGTGCAGACAGGTGGCAGAGCAGAAAGAGCAGTGTGTGCCAAGCCCCGTCAATGAGAGAGTTGGGCCTGTTCTGGAAACTGCAGGTAGTTCAGTAACACTGAGCTCAGAGCACAAAGGGACAGGAGTGGGTAGTGAGGCCAGAGCCCCGGACCCTTTTGCCATGACATAAGGTGCACTGCCCTGAGGGCAGGGGGGTCTGCTCGAGGGTTCCTGGGAGGTGAGCAGCATGTCAGATTTGCCAGGGTGAGGCTGACAGCAGAGGCCAGGCAGAAGGTGGTAGAGGCCAGGCAGAAGCTGGCAGCGGTAAGGCCACTGAGAGAAAGAGACAGAGGAGAGAGATGGGAGGGCCGCAGGCAGAATCCAGTGAGCTGGTGTCCCACAGGGCCACGAGGCCTTTCTCCCCTGTCTCTCGCATCTCAGGATCATGGGAGGTCCCCGGATCCTCCCGTTCCACTGAGCCGGCCTAAGGAAGGACTCACTGGGAGGACCCCTCCCCAGAACACCAACAGCCAGGCTGCTCTGTTCAGCTCACAGCCGTGAAGCTGGGGCTCATCTGGTCTCTGTTAGAGCCGTGACGGCCCTCCATGTCACAGCCACCGGCCCCCGAGGAGCCCTACTAAGAGCATGGGGATGTGCCAGGGAAAACACGACGATTCAAATCCTGGTGACAGCAGGCTCACCTCTGAGTACAGAGAGCAGCCCACCACCCGGGAAATGAGCTTTGTAAACATTTTTAAAGGACCATTTTTATCAGAGAAATCAGAAAACAGGAAAACTACAGCAGAAAAGAAAGGCAAAGGCAGAAAAGCAAGCATGCATAGAGCAGGCCAGGAAGGAGGGCAGCTGCTCATGGTAAGAGAGAGGTCTGAACTGGAAGCAGCAACGCCTCCTGGTCCCTCCAAGGCATCCACAGCCAACTTCTCCCATGACCTGTATACCTGGTGCCGCTTAATAACGCTGGGCCTGACCCAAAGGCTGGGCATGACCAGGCCTGTCTGCTACTGTTCCCTGTTGCCAGGATCAAAAAAGACATCCGTGATGTGTTAAGCCTCCATAAAGCAGCATCACATGTGACTATCACCCTGATCATGTCCAGAAAACGCCTGGAGGAGATGGCAGGACATTTCTAATTCCTCTGTCCTCTGTCTCACCAGCACTATGCTACCTTGGGGGTTTGGGTCGCCGAGTCCTACCTTGAAACTGAGGCTTGACCTCCCAGGAGCTGGAGGCAAACCCCCCGAACACATGGCCATCGTGGTCCTCAAGGAGGGCCACGCAGGGCCCCCGATGGGTGATGCGTCCGCAGAGCTGGGAGAAGCTGTGCCCATGGAGCTCGGACGAGAAGAGAAGACGCCAGCGGTGCTGCCACTCCCTGGGCAGGTGGGAGTCCAAGTAGATGACTGACAGGACGTCCAGGAGGCTCTCAAACTCCCTCCCCTGGTCCACCTGGCGCTCTGGGACCAGGCTGGCCAGGTCGAGGGACGAGCACAGGACGAGCAAACCTTTGTGGATGACCACACTCAGAAACGTGGCCACGTGGGGGGACCTGAACACCCAGTCCTCGATCGTGGCTCGGTCACAGTCACAGTCCAGCCATTGAGGCCCCAGAAGCCTCTCGCCACCTGAGGGACGGGACAGTCAATATCATCACTTTATAGCTACTATCTAAACCTGCACTTGCCAGTACAAGAGCCACGAGCCACCCATGGCCATTGAGCACTTGCAATGTGGCTCATCTGTGTTGAGATGTGCTGTTAAGTAAAATATACACCTGGTTTGAAAGACCTAGTATAAAAAAAAAATGTAAAATATCTCAATAATTTTTTTACATTGATCACATGTTAAAATTTTACTTTGGACATATTCTTATAATTAATTTCACTTGTTTCTTTTTACTATTTTTTTTTTCCTTTTTGTCTTTTTTCGTGTCCGGCAACGGATCGCAACCCTCAGTGTCGCGCCCGTACCGGACCAGGACCGGCAACGGGATCGC